TTTTTTTTTTTTTTTTTTTTTTCAGTAAATACTTCTTAATTAAGACTGATACTCTTTCACATATGTTGTTTAAGGTGAACTAAAGCAATGTTAATTCTAAACCTTTTATATTTTGTTTAGAGGGTTTACATTTACACCTTTATGAATCTATAGTTCTGTAGCACTGTTAACAGCAGTTGGTTTCCCTGATTCTATTTTCTCCTGTTTATAATGTGTTGTAATTATTACAAGCATGGTCCAGGAATATACCTTTAAAGAATAAAATGTAAAATAACTGATTCTTAGTTACAGGAAAATTGGAAGTAAAGCAACTTGCAAACTTCCATAAACAGGCAATGTGACATTTTCTGCTTCTCTGAAGTTGGTACAAACCAGAAAGACCAGGACATACATATACACAGGGTTGCAGCTGAATAATTACATAAACTGCCATTCACACACATGTTAAAAACACACTACTAGGTTTGCTCTGCCAAACATTCAAGTGTAAGAAATGCCAGAATTCAGTGACTCAGGTCTTCCTTGAGCACATGAATGCTAAAGCAATCTTTTGTTTACACAAGAGCCCTGCTTTGCCACTGAGGGGCTGGTCTTTGCTCAGTGAACAAGTGAGAGACATAGTATTTTAGTCAGAATTTTCAGCATCATATATAAATATATGTATGTGTGTACCTATATATTTACAAACACACATATACACACACCTTTGTATAGTACAGATTTTTTCAAATCCTTCCCTAATGACGGAGTCAGAGTTTCCTTACGGGACTATGGCTTTAAATTGAATGGTGCCATAGCTATTAATTAATTAATCTGCCTCCAACCACTTCCAAGGTGAAGAGACAAAACAATACATACATTTCAGAGGGCAGACTGCATATTATTCAGTCATCTACACAGCCAAAGTGATTGTGGCAAGAGACAGATCTTTAAAAATATTCAACTATGCTTTTTTTTACCATGAATTTGGAATAATTTTGGCTTAAATCTGTTCTCAAATGTTATCTAAGACTATTTATTTGCAACTGTATCCAAACTAACTCTAGTTCTCACTACTATCAAAGTTACATCAGCTAAAAAAGTTTTAAAAATAATTTCTGTAAGATTCTTGTAACACAATCTTCTCTGCAGTTTAAGTTCAGATTATTTTATTAAAATCTATTACTCAAACATACCTTTATATTTGGCTGTTTGAAGTAATAATGGAAACTCTTTCAAGGCATTAAGTAGCCAAAGTTCAACATTTTTACTGAACAATCTGATTGATTCCATATATTGCACAGGCACCTCCTCCAGGAAATCAGGAAGTAGGATGTTCTCCATTTCCTAGAATACAAGTTAATGGACCTTCACATGACTGGTGTACTACAGATATTTACAGCAGCATGAAAAAAATATTCTATTCATAGTTTAAATGTAAGTATAAAGAAGCTGGGTTTTGTTTTCTTCCAATTAAGCAATAACTAAGCTACATTTATTAGCAGAAAGATAAAGATCCTAAAAAGAAATATAATTTCCTGAGTTAATTGTTTGACACTACTTAATGAAGTCCCTTAAATGAGAAGCAAATTGTTTTGATCAGAAAAATGCATATTTCTATGTGGAATGTCACCAAGAAATGCAGTAGTGTTCCCAAAGGAAAAATAACTCTGATCATTTCGAAAACAGCTATCAGTTGAAATTTCAGTCACATAACCTCATGCCAGAACCACAGCCTGTATTTATTACAGCACACTCCTTTGATATTATGGACTTTGAAAGGAATATGCAGCAGCAGAAGGGAAGTAATCTCAAATTCCACTATCTCCTTTCAAAATCCATACTGTGCTGTCTCAGAAGAAGCCAGAGAACAGACTTGAGCTACCAATGAAAATCCCATAATAGAGCACACATAAAAAGCTGGCACTTCTCCTCAGGTAGAACTAACAAAAAGACACAAACACAGAACAACATAAGTACAACAAGCAAGTGTGTCATGGTACCTTGAATAGCTGCTTATCATAGCTTTTGAACAGCTGGCATACATCTGGTGAGGCCATCACTGCTATTTTTTCAGGCTGCAGAGACCTCCAGAATGCCATGATACAGTCTCCCACCTGGTGCACAAAGTGAATTTTCACTGATTTTACACTCGTGAAACATGAAGCCTGATTCAGTAGAACAAAACACATAAGTACAGAAGCAAAAGAATGACTATGGAGCTGGGCTCTTTGCTTGGCCCCATACTGGCTGGGCTCCAGCATATGGAGAAGCATCCTTGGGGTGACGAGCTGAGGCTCGCAGGCAGCATAGGGAACAGGAGAGAAACAAAGAATTGTGCCATGGATATGCAGATATAATGAAAAATATGTGTCCATGGCCTTGTATTTTGTACTGGGCTCAGACCTGTTGATGTGCCAAGAGTGCTCAGCATATGCTTACAAACTCAGATTCTCGGAGCACGTTGTGTTAATTAAGAATTCCCTAACCATTTGGCTGAATGCTCCTTTTGTCTATAAATGATCACCTACCTTAGATTAAACCATCAAGTAAATAAGCTATACAGAAACAATTTTGTCCTTAAGAGTTGTTTGCTGTTATCAGAATGAGCATTATTAAAGCAAAACCTTGTCAAACTCTTTCCTCCTCACTAAATGTAAAATATCTTGACAGTGGCTGTAGTACTCATTGGCAAGCAGAACAACCTGTGACCAAAAAGAGGGTACAAAAAGATGTTTCAGGCAAAAAGCTAACTTGCTAACATACCAATTCATAAGGGTATTTCTCCCCTTACCTGTTGCTCCAAAAGGTAGAATGTGCTTAATCCAGGCCAAGGGTACTGGTATTGGTCTTGTTCAGTCCTCAGACAAATGAGAGATGGAGAACAGTGCAAATTCTTGCTCCCGATGCATTAGAATTTATTTTGGACAATAAATAATAAAAAAAAGATCACAATTATCTTGTCAGTTCAGTTAAAGGTATTAAGTACTTTACTGAAATTGTATAACATGATTTTTTAGTCAGATGTATTTCTTCAGAGGAATGCTTGTCCTTTTTTTAGAAAGCAGGGGTGGATGAAAGAAACAAGCATGTCTGACTAAATATTTAAAACCTAAATACTACATGAACTTCTTTTCAAAACGGGTGAATATTTTATGCTCTATGTCTCTTCCACATATATTCTCTATAGCACACATGTCACGTTTGTAGCCTTCTAAATAAGGCTGCAGATGGTCAGCTCTGCTGTTGGGGTGACAGCACATTTCTCATCGGCTGTCATTGCCTCCACTTCAGAGCACTCATTACCACACCCGAATGCCCTGTAAAAAGAAGACAGACATCCAGTCTCTCCTTTTCTCCTCACTTTGGTCGGCATAAGTTTTTTGCTCATGTTCTGCTGGCTGACTTCCAACCAGCCTGGTGTCAATCCCTCCCGTGACAGCACGCTGACGGGAGAGCTGCCGCAGGTTAGCTTCACATCTGCCCTTTGTGGTGAGCTGGGGCTGTGCTCTCTTTTCTTACTCATTTCCTAGTATTTAAATACTTATCGTGCCAATAAAGTCTGAGCCCATTGAAAAGACACCGACTGGCTCAGCTGCATGAGGGTCTGTTTCCGTGGGCCTCAGACAAGGAAGGCTGTGCCCCACTACCTCCCCTAATACTCAAATCCTGGGCTGTCAGCCACAATTTCCTCTCTCAGCACAGATAATATTATTTGAGCTGACATTAAGATGACAAAAATATTTGGCTACCAGGTGAAATAGGAGTGGGGGAAGTAAGCATTTAGTGGGATGATACAGACAAAGATTATTTTGAAGAAGATGATGGGTTAACTGTATTTCATCAGAACATATTATATAGCCATTTTAATTAAACACACAGAGAGACATTTTGTTAGAAGTCCAGTGTATCTGAAACTCACTGTTCTTTTTTTTTTCTTGATGCTCATGTGACCAGATGCACTTCCAGAACTGCAGGCATTTCCACTGTGGTAAAGTATACAATAGGAAAATAAAACAAAAAACCAACCAACCAAACAAACAAAACAAACCACAAAACCCCCACAAACAAACAAAAGAAACAAACTTTAAAAAGCTCACTAATTTATTCTGTATTTAGTAAGAAAATGAGCTCAAATTGGATAGAGTACACTGGGTTGGAGCATTGTGTTGGGGAAAAAAACCACAACATTCTCTTTCCTGTAATTCAGCAGCACTGTGATTTTCTAAGAAGTCTGAAGACAAATTTCTTATTTTTAAGATTAAACGGAACTTTTCATTACAAACATGGCAAGGTATTAGCCATTTATCAGTGTGACATGTTCCAACTTCTTGCACCAAAACTGCAGGTTTGTATTTATAGTTACAGTTCATTTGGAATGCTAATGATAATTATAAACATGCAAATAACAAAAGCATAATCATCCTTGTGCTTTAATTTCACAGCAATGACATTTCCTGCACCCTATACCGGTTTAGATGGCATTTTGTTTCTGACTTGCCCACGTTTATTTTGCAAGCCTGCCGTGATGTTCCATATGGTCAGAATTCACCTGGACCATTCAAAGGCTTGACCTCTGGATTTTGGCTGGAAAGCCAGGGATGCAGGCACAAGAGGATGCTGTCTTGCTTAACTATTTCCTACTTCTCTCTCTCAGTGTTTTGCTGAGGCAAATTCTACAGGAGGGGAGGCAATGGTGCTAATAAACGGGACATGCTGTGAGAGTGAAATTCCTCTAGTCAAGCCTCCATCTGCTGCTGACACCTGCTCACTGTCTGTGAAGGCATTTCAGACTCCAGGGTCCTTTTGGACTTCCACTGGTGACTGCCAACACTCAAGCTATCTAATCAGATCTTGGCTGCTGGGTTTCACTGCTGTGATGTGTTATAAAGGAGGGTACCACCAGACATCCAGAAGGAACAGAGGACAAAATGTAACAGCTTATCTGCTTGGGAAGTCAAGCTGCTTGAAAATGCCTCTGCTTGCTTCTTTGCTGTCCACAGGACTGACCCTTGCCACCTGAAGTATCTTTCCCTCTGCCACTACTCTCTGCTGTGAAGGTGGTGCTCCAGTGAAACAATAACCAAACAGGCCACCCAAGACAGGGCACAACAATCATGTTGGGTATGTTTGGCAACACCGTTGACTCTTTCTTCCAGACATTTTTAGAGTTAGTGACTGGACAAAGGGAAGAATGTGTAAGTAGAGATGTTTCATAACACTTCCCTCAAATAGGTCTTTCCTGCAGATTTCTAAAGCCTGTGAAACAAAATTAATGAATATTTTCCAGCTCCTGCTCTCGCTGAGAAGGCAGCCAGCTGTATCTTCTGCTGCTGCTACTATGGCAACACGTATCAGCATCACTCTCCTCCAGTGGGCTGGCTCTGGATACAGACTGGTTCCCTGCTCCCCCCCACGCAGGGATGATGAGGGAGGTGTGAGAACGAGTGCTGCCTGGGTCCTCCCGTGCCCCAACAGCCAACTGGGAGCCCAGTGATGCTTAAGTACAAGTACCTACAGAAAGCTAACATGTCTGTGCTCCCGCTGTTAGCAAAGGTAGTTGGGACTCACCTGGTGCCTGCAGAGGTGCTTGGCTGGCAGGCAGAGCTGCTGGCTTTCCCTGGAGAACGGTGCCTGGGAAGAGACAGGACATACAAAATGAGAGGTGGGAGGAAGAAGGGGAAAACGTGTGACAGCAAAATCACAAGGAGTCTCACCATGTCTCATGCAGAGTTTAAATGGTGCTGTGGGGTGGGAACTAGAGCTAAAAAGGGAAGTACAATGGTGGGGATGATGAAAAGACTAACAGAGGAGGTGAACGGGAAGGACAAAGGAAAAATGAAAGGGGGGAGGGTGGTGAATGTGCCTTGACTGTCAGATTACACTGAGATTAGAAAAGCTAATTTGATAGAAGTGCATCAGATTTTTTAATTAGAAAATCGTGGATTTGCTTCACTAGAGTCAGAAGTCCAAACCTTCCCTATTACTAGAATCATCAAGTAACTCCTAGAAAGCCAGAATTGCTGGTGTTCTTTAACACTGCCATTCTCAAAACCTCCTTGACCTACCAGAGCAAATACCATTTTATGGAGAGCTAATGCTCAAAGCTCCCATTCCTAGAGGGCACCCCTATTGTAATGCATATTCCCTTAAATCTCACTAATACATTTGGAGATCTCATTGGGTACAATTGTGGCTATTTACACTGCTTTCATCATGTCAGCAGCAGAGCTATGGTACATGTATCTTAAAAAAATCCAAGACTTCTAAACAAACTAATTTACAGGTGCTGTGTAAGAGAATCCTCATCACTCCTCAAGTGAACACCTTCCAGCCCAGCCAGCTGACACATCTGAGGCCCCACTGACTATTAAAAGGCAAATTCTGTCTTTGTAGTCAAAAGCAAACCATTATAATCATCCTGCCATTTCTACGACAACAACAAGCAAAACTCCCAACATGTCAGACCCTGCATGGACCCAGTTCCCCTCTACCAGCACCATGTTACTTGCTGACTATCTCAATATGGTCAAGAAATACTCTTTCCAGTAATTAGAGACAGTGGATCATAGTTTTGAAAGCATCCCTTTATTCACCAACCCGCAGGTTGGATGGATGCTGTGGTCTCTCCCAGTGGGTTCCCTGCTCCATCCTCCCCCTAGGTACATGTAACAGAAAAAACAATCTGCATGTTGGACTCTCTTCAGGCATGAGAGAGAGCAATAGTTAGTGCAGGTAGAAAAGTCTTCAAGTTTTCATTACTCTTTTTCTAAATTTCAAACTAGAATTTGCTGATTTTATCAACTTCATTGGATCGTGCAAAATTAATTCTCATTTCAAAAAACGCTAAACTCTACCAAGAGAACAGTAAAGATGAGGTTTTTCCTTGGTGTGTTCTTATTTATTTGCAAAGAATGTACAAAACTCAATACAGATGGAAACAAACTCACTTATTTGGTTGAAGTTGTTGATTATTTTGTATGTGGTTTATTTATTTTAATTTTTTTTAAATTGTAATTGTGCCATTCATGCAACTCTGGCTGTGTTCTGTGCTTTTCATCTGCTTTCTCTCCTTTTTTTTCCTGCTGTCTTTTAACAGATACAGGAAGTAACTGTGACACCTGGCTGCCCAGGTGTTGTGGGTGTGCATGTTGGCTCGTGACTGGGATGTGTGGCTGCATTTAGAGTGAAATCTGCTCTAATTTCATCTGTCTGGCTTCACACATCAGCTTACTGGCTTCTTATAACTGTCTTCAGTGAAGGAAGTGTCAGACAAGATAATTTTGCAGTTGAGAGACTTGTCTATTGCAACTAGAAAGATGATCCTGGTCTGAATACTTTTTTTTTTTAACTTTTTTTTTTTTTTCTTTCCCCCAAATCTGCAAAGTTATCCCAAGAAACTACATCAAGCTCACTAGATGGCTAGTTATGTTGGCCTTCTTTTCCATGGTTGGACTACATGAAATACAGAGGTGTCTGGGTGGACGCCTCTGGCAGCTGGTGGAGAAGGAGAGGGAGGCCTGCAGCCAATGCAGCAGCTTCCCTACATTCCAGCATGGACTATAGTGTGTTCCCCAGCCAGGCAGGGAACATGGCTCATTTCTGTGAGAGGGGTCAAGGACACAAGCTATGCTGACATACAAGGAGACAAGTTATACTGGCATATGTGATGTTTCTGGCTCCCTGTAGTGTTTAAAGACTGAGCTTCTGCACCTGGCCTGGACCTAGCCAGCATCGCTTCTTTGGTTCCTCCTGCTTTTTGTAAGGTTTCTACACTGGAAGGAAAAAGAACAACAGTTCAATTAATTCTGTTCTCTGCCTCATCTCTTCTATAACCAGAACTAGCAGCTCTCCTATTATGCCTAGGGAGGCTGCTTCTTTCAAGTAATGCTGCAGGAAAACACCTTTCTTTCCCTGGAAGAAGGCAAACCAGCAGAGACTCAGACAGAGACCTGCAATGTTCCTTGAACAGTGGTCAAGACCTTTCCTCATTACGGATATCAAACCTTAGGCCTGTTCTGGTTATACTGGGTACACCAGTAGTAAGGGATATCACTTCAGTAAGGATCTTAAGGGAAGTGAACCTCCAGTTGCCTATTAATAATTTGTTTGGTCTCATAACAAACAATTGCCACCTGCTCATCTGCAGAACTTGATCCTCTGCCCTGTCCCATTGTTTGACATTGTCACTCTTCTGCAACACTACTCTGCTGTAAAACCCATCGTGGAAGGCAACAGACCTATGGGTATAATTTTTCAGTTCTCTTGCGGAGCATCCATTCAATTAGGTAACAACTATGTAAAATACCACAGACAGTGAAGCAGCTTTCATCATCACCAGGATACCTGGACATTTAATAGGCTGACTTGTATCCCTCTGACATTCATGCTACAGAAAAATGCTATATCTGCATGTTAGGGAATGGAAACTAAAATACAGAATTTATCTGTGTACACATTGAAGTCATGTACAAGCCTGTCAATATGCTTATTTGAGCTCCCATTTAGAGTCTCAATATATTAAGCTCCTCTTTGAGGTCTAGCAAAAATTCCTCCTCTTAAGATCTACGTGGTTAAAATGTACAATTTAAGGAAGTCTGATCAGGCAGGACACATTTTCAAAATGGAGCTTTGCTATTAGGGCACAGCACTTTTATAGTGTGTATAATAATAGGAAAAAAAATAATACTGATGTCAGTGTTCAACAGATAATTTACAAACTTTTATAGAAAGGCAATATATATAGTCTGTCATGTAACACTTCATGATTAAAACATTTAAAAAACAAACCTGTGATAATCTTTTTCGGACAGAAGAGAGCAATAACGTGCATAAAAGGAAGAGCTACTCTTGATAGATATTCCAACATGATGATAGCTAGAAAACAATAAAAAACTATAAACTGACAAGCATATGATTTTCAGTAATCAGCAAATAATTGATTTTCCTCTTGGAAAACAGGTGATCAACCTATTTAAACCAGAAAACACCAACAAAAAAAAAACACCTTCCTTTGTTTCTTTGAACTCTGTTTAAAATCTATTTTCTCCAACAGAAGATAATTGCAAACACTCTTTTTAACAGTTTTTTCCTTTTTTGTTTGTTGTTTTGTTGTGTTGTTTGTTGGGGTTTTTTTGTTCACGATAATTTCTTCTGAAAAAAATCTTAAGCCAGCAAACATGATGCAAGAGATTTGTACTTGACAGCTAGAGAAATCAGGAACCAGAGTCCCAGTTGACAGAGGTCCCTGTATGCTCTTGCAAGCTGAAAGATTTCATGCAATTGTTCTGCAGCCATTTACAGTAGTGTAGGGACTGGATGGCTCATCAGTGGTCATGGCAAGCTAAAATCCAAGAAACCTGCCAGACCCTCTCTAAGGTTTATCCTGACCTTGGTGGGCAGGAGAGTCACCATCTCTGCTGCTCAGGTGCTACCAGCTGGCTCTTTCCAGGCTGGGTCACTGGAAAGCCAGAGGAGAAATGCAGCGATTTCAGGCCAAGAGCAGCCAGCAGAAGGTAACTGTCTGCTGATGGGAAGAGAAAGTATGGAGACTGGGAGCTATCACACACCCTCCCACATCCTGCCAGCTATGACAAGAAGCCTGGGATTCTCTGTGGTGAGGCATTCCCAAAATAAAGGATCTTGCTGGATCAAGCTGATAACAAGTCCAGACCAGTGGAGAAAAATTGCAAATCAAGTAAAGGCATGTCATTCTCAAAGGCAGGACTTGATAGCTACTTAAAATGCTTGCCAAATTACAGTGTCTCAATGCCCTTAAAACATCCCTTTCTCCAGTCTGGGTGCTCAGGGTGTGATTGTAAGTTTGGACATTGAATCAATGAAAGAGTATCAAAATCTCTGTGCTCCAGAAGAAGAGAAGGAAGGGAAAAGAAAGGACATGCAGGAGGAGGTTCTGAGGTGGTCTGGTTTAAACGTTCTTAAACTGTTCACAACATTTGCATTGACCATCAGTACATGCTGGGTCACTCCACAGATACGTGCAAGGCTGAAAAGCACAACACAGACATGAATCACGGCTGCCACCCCCACGCACCCCAGAGTCAGGCTTTCCTGACCTGGTGTCTCAAGAGCTCTGAGTAAGTTGTGATGTCTGGCAGATGCCTCATGCAAGCCATGATGTAAAAAGCCATTACAGCTCAAAGCACTAATTTCTAAAAAATCAGTCTGATCTGGAATTCATGTCCTACTAAAGCAGCTCTAATGTGGTGATTTTCATGGAATTAACTCTATTTTAATGTACTCAGTGTCATCATGAATCAGTCAGGGTCTTGCGATGCATTGCAGACTTGCAACCAACAATTCATTTGCTGTGTTACGGTGCTCGAGCTGAAAACTCAGCCATTTAAAAATTTTCTTAGAGCAGTTGTAAATAACATTTTTAAAGAAAGGTAGAAAAATCGATACCTGGCATTCCCTCTTGTGCCCAGTCTTCTTGTCCTCAGATCCGGAAAAACTAACCGAATAAGCTAAAAAAAACCAAATGGAAAATCAGAGATACTTAGTAAATTAATTCTATAATACAAAAATATATCTACTACATTGTTTTCTCCTTAATCACTTCTTTTGCTTTCCATCATTTGCAGGCTAATACCTGTTCTTACATGCCTCTCCAAATGGTAACTGTTGAACTGAACTCAATCAGGCTCTTGCAGATCAAAATCTAAGTAATTTAAGGGATTACCTCCCTAAGGTAGGAAATTTTAGACTAGTCGTTTTTACCTTGCACAGAAGCACAGTTGGTGCACACACCAGGAGACCACCCACAGCCAGGGGGGGTCTATCAGCTAGAGAACTCAAAGGTGCTGAGACTCTCCAGTACTCTGCCAGACCTGCAAGCCTTACTCATTCAAGTAAGACTTGCTCACACAAGGGATTTTGCCCACCCACTCACTCTTACAAGGGGGACTTGCAGGATAGGGCCTGACTTGTCTGTTTTAAAAGGACCTGAATCATCAAGCTGCAAAGCAACCTTTTGACCACCGCAGTGGTAAAGGTGAACTGAGGTCACGCCACATCTGTCAAGGTTAGGCCCTACAGAGAAATAAGATACTGTTGGAGTGATAATCCACTTCACTATGATTATTCTGCATGAGCTGTCTGTGATGACACAGACTAACCCAGGACAGCTGGAGCTAAGATTCCCCATGTAACAAGAGCAGAGGACTGAGTACCCAACACTAGTGAGGAGCAAGGGGAGCCTCCACTTTGCAGTTCAAACCTTGGACTCTCTGCCAAGTGCACTTTGCTGCTCCAAAGGCCTCCTAAAGGACAAATTTCCCCTAACTCACTCTAAAACCTACAGTTTTAACAGTGTTGGAGTGATCCTGTTCTTCACATGTTTCTGTTTAGATCCACCCCAGCTGCTCCCTTTCTCCAGCTGGTATCTTAGCATAAACCCTTTTTAACAGGACAGCCTATGAAACTGAGGCTTCTGTGGCATGAGACACATACTTCTTCCCACTACCCCTTATACAGAGAGAGTGGTGTATTTGGGCAGAAGGATAGGGAAGACTAGCAATGTCTTAAATCATCACAGTTTGGTCCACATGGGGCTTGACTGCAGAAGTCCTTACAGTCTGCATGCATGTAATGCTGTCAGGTTTCTACAGCTAGATGAATTATTAATAGCTCAGCCCTTTAGCTAGGCCGTGGTAACTGATTACATGTGCACCTTCAGTTTCAACCAACATTGCCACAGTTCCTGCCCCCCTCAGGCTCTGGGTGTGTGATCCCACCTCCTGCTGCAGAAGGACAGACCATTTCAAGCCACTGGGGAGCTGCTCACTCAGGACGTGTGAATTTGCACTGCAATGGAGTGGGTCAGGTAAGGCTGTGAGGAAACAGTTGCAAGCACCAACCCATAGCAGCTATGGCTCATCAGGAAAGCTCTGCTGCGTGACCAGACTCATCTGCATCCGTACCATTCCCAACTTAAAAGTAAAATGCATTAACTTGAACCACAAGAAGGCGTAGCTTACAGGTGGTAACTCAGTCGTGTTGAAAGCATACAGACAGCATGGGATTAACCCCACCTATGTGGCTACAAGGTAGAGATGTCTAAGCTAGTTGCTGCAGACTCTGTGGCCAATGGAGACCAAGAGGCAGTTCTGAGGCACATTTCATATGAGCTGCTCATTTAGGGTGAGAGAAGTAAGTAGAGAGGAATTATATGTAACTACTTGTTTCTCTCCATTGGCTACCAAGAAATTTTAAGGTGACTAGCTTCATGGCAGACATCTACACTGAGCCAGGTAAATTCTACCCATGGGTTGGGCTGATGATCCATTGGGCTATGGTAATAAATCACACTGGAATTGTGATACAACTTTTACTTAAATAATTTTGGTTTTGTTTTAAAACAGCGCATAGTAGCTCTTACCACGGGCACTAATAGAATAATACAAGCAGTAAAAACAGGAAATTCTGAACAACAGGTCTTGTGCAACAAATAATCACAAGGCATTCTATCTATTATTTGCTAAATAAATTTGAAAGCTATGAGTGTTTCTTGAGTTGGGATTTCTGAGTGGTAAATGCTCTGTAGATCCCATCAACCTCCATGTATTAAAAGAGTGGACTTTTTAAAGGAGATTGGGTTCTACATCTGCACTTGCTTTGCTTGGATGATTCTATACCAACTTTTTTAGGGTGTGTTTGGAACAAAATCTCCCCAGCCATTCTTAAAAAAGGAAGTATAAAATTATGTAACAACCAAAAGGGTTTTTCAAGGACAGAAGAATCAGCTCCTCAGGCTAAGTTTATTAACCTTGAGCTGTTTACCCTGATAAAGCTTTCTAAAATGCATTGGCAAAAGTAATCTCTCCTAGTGTAACATACACCAGTTCCCTGAAGAAAATAAGCTCCACCACAAGGAGTATAACTAAGTCCACATGAGGGCTTACCAGAAAAATATTACAAAAGACACAAGCATAATACAGTACATATTTTCCCCTGGCATTGATACATTCTTCTCTGTTATTTAATCTCTTTTGATACTCAGTGTGCTTATTTGATCAACAGATTTTCTCTTTAGGTATCTCTGTTTCTTGTCCAGCCTATCTACTCTGTACCTTTCCAAAGGAGGATGAATTCACTTGACACTTGGAATTTGGACTGCAGCTTTCCATGTACAATTCATATAGTAGCCAACGGGGTACAGTGGATCCTTCACACCAATAGAAATTATCAGCTAACCTTTAAAAGAAAAGCATCAGTTGGTTTATGTCAGAATTAGAAGAAAGAACTTTTAGTTTGTAATTTTAATAGCTCATCAGGTTTACAGTGAAGTCTGTAAAAGTTAGTCTGATTTTATGGAAGCATAGAATCAAAAAGAAAGGTAGTACTTTTGTGTTAATCTGTATTCTGGGGGAAAACCCCACATTTAAATATATAGACATTATTTTTTCTGTGTTTGTTTTTAACATTTAAATTTCTGCTTTCATTGTTTTAAAGCGTGATACAGGTTACATGAGACTGTTCTAAGAAATTAACTACATCTCGTATTTTTAAATACAAAATTACAACTTAGTAAAATCATTACAGCATTAACACCAATACAGAAAGTATTAGCATCTTTCATATGGTATTGTTATATCAAAGGATGTACTTTGATCTTCTAATTAGAAAGGTCTCCACTATACCAAAGATAATAGTAAGAACATTTTTCCAGCCTCTTGCAGTACAAATAGAGGAGCAAAGTTGGAGCAAAGAAGCAGAAAGATTAATTTTCAGAGAATGACATGCTGATCATATGACAGTGTTTTCTTACTCTGACTCTGCTTCCGTTACACCAAATGATTTATGCATATTTAATTAATTAATCAGCTGAATGCTAGTGCAGCACAGTGCCAGTTACTCACTGTGTAATTGAGTATGTTGGAAATTGAGTTTGTTTGGAAAGCAGACTTCTCGTAATCACCAGGTTAGATAAGCCAGTTGGATTTCAAATCAGCATCCTCTCTTTTAGGAGGAGTCTGATTTCAGAAGATCCAGTGTTTATCTTTCTGTATTGGCAGTAGATAGTGGATAAGATCTTCAGCAAACCTCCTTGCTAGAACCAACTGAGCAAGATGATTGCTGCACAGCCTGATGATGTCTACCTCTCATTTTATTCATGCCCTCTCCCCTTTCTCCAGGGAAGAAGGCTGGCTGCCTCCCCCAGCTACCCATCTCCCTAACAAAAGGCCCCAAAATACCTTGCTTTTGCCTCCTCAGAGCCCATCTTCTCCCTCGCCAACCCAAGAGGCTGACACTGCCAAGCACTGGGGCTGAGCTGTGCTGGGCTCCCTGCCAGCCCCTCACCACCTCCAGCCCCACAACCCCACAGCAAAGGCTTCACAGCTAGACAGGAGCAGAAACCTGCACCGAAAATAGGGGATCTGCTCTGCTAACTGGGTATTTCCCGTCATGGGGCTGAAAGGCAAATGAAGTTTATTCTAGATAAGAGTCCTGGCTGAGCTCTGCCTCCCAGAAGGCAGAAATGCTTGCTTCTTCTAGAGCAACCATCTCAAACCCCTTTGTTATTGAGCAGTCCCAGAGGAGATTAAACCTAAATCCAAATTCATCCTTAATATAACAGCACAAGAGTCACTGGAAATGCTTCAGTAGCTGTTTTCTGCCAATAGTTTTGCCTCCACATTTAACTATTTAGTGACAAAATATTTTGGAATTTCATTTCATGAATTTAGCATCTATTAAACTGCCAGACTTTTTCAAATAACAAGTCAAACACATTCTTAGTGCTGACACATAATACAAAAATCCTGTCTGTCAGGGAAAAAATATCCACACAAAGAAGAGCACAGTGTTCATCTTCTTGCCTATTAGCCCCAAGGTTCTCAAAATCTGAATGCTTATGGCATGCATCAACAAAGAACTGCCAATAAAGACAACAAAATAGAAAGAATAGTAAGGGAGACAGATGGAGGTTAAAGAAAAAGCACATGGGGAAGACCTCCATTTATCTGCTACTTTCAATCCACACTTTCTGTGGTGTTTGTTAATTGGTCAGGTCTAGGACCTCACACGAACTCCAGATTTTGGCGTTTGCCACCAGTTCTATGCAAACCCTTGACAGTCAGAGCATTACACAGGTTTGCAAGCCTGCTGTTTAACTATTTCTGAACAAAGATCTGGTTTGCACCAACCATAAAATGAAGCTGAATATTTAAAAAAATTCAAAACATGAGAAGGTGATTCAGCTGTTTGTTGTGATGAAAAAAATAATCTGTTCATCTGTAGGGCCACACAGATAATCAGAGGGCTGGGGCACCTCTCTTAAGAAGACAGGTTGAAAAAGTTGGGGCTGTTCAGCTTGGATAAGAGAAGGCTTCAGGGAGACCTTACAGCTGCCTTTCAGTCCCTGAAGGGGCTACAGGAAAGCTGGGGAGGGACTTTTTACAAGGGCTTGTAGTGAGAGGACAAGGGGTGATGGTTTTAAGCTGAAAGAAGGCAGATTTAGATTAAACATTAGAAAGAAATTCTTTTTTGTGAGGGTGGTGAGACACTGGAAGAGGTTGCCCAGTGCAGCTGTGGCTGCCCCATCCCTGGAAGTGTTCAAAGCCAAGTTGGTTGAAGCTTTGAGCACCCTGGTCTAGTGGGAGGTGTCCCTGCCCATGGCAGGGGGTTGGGACCAGAAGATCCTAAGGTCTGTTCCAACCCAAACAATTCTATAATTTTATGATTTCAAGGACTATTTGGTTCGGTTTTATGCAGTGTCTTAAACTTGTTGGATGATCTTGGATATATCTCTTCTGTCAGTCCTTTTGAAGTGAGAGTAGTGGTATCTGTATCACAGCAGAAGCACAGACTCTGTTACTGCTCAGGTATTACTGAGAGGGGAAATAAAACCATCTAATATTGCTTGCTGTCAAGTTAGAACTTTGCTTCTGTGTGTTGCTACTGCTTCACACAAAGCTTCAACATGGTTTACCAGCTGGATTCCCTTGTGCTTGAGGAAAAAAGGAAAGTAACCCTGGTTTCTCTTTGGCTGTGATGCAGCAGATGATGGTGACAAACTTACTCCACCACAGAAATTATCTCACTGAGGAGTTCAACCATTACCCACACCTCAAGGAAACACAACCTCGGAGAACACCAGC